CAGAAGACCTATGTGATGTGAATATAACTCATTATTCGACTTAAGATTTCTTACAGAATACTCGGTTTAAGTATTTTGCATAATTAGGTTTTGCCGAATTCCATTTGTTGTAAAACTTAACGAGAATCTGAATTAAGCACACATAATATAAAATGTATTCACCCAATTTCGTTTAAGGTGATGAAGGACTGGTAGTAGAATTTTCCCACAATGACATGTGTTGAGCTGACGTTTCCATTCAATTTCGCATAGCCTTGCTTTCCTAAAAGTTGTTTTCATCCAGGCTCAGGTGGACTGCAGTTTCGACCTCGCATCGGTCTTGTCAACACCCCTAGCGGGAGTTATATTCATATCGTTGTGGGAAAATTCTACTACCAGTCCTTCATCACCTTAAACGAAATTGGGTGAATACATCTTAAATTACTTATATATTGGTAGCTTTGAAACTCTACTTAAATATGAAAAATACTAATTATTACTAACAGTGCAAAATCAAGAAAGAGATAGCGTCGAGAAACAAAAAAATAAGTGTGAAAATCGGCATACTTTTCAGCAGACCAGAGCTGCCGCTTTTGTAAAAAAAGCCAATTTGTCGACACTCCGTTTACGTGGATTTGAAGATCAGTGATAGTCAAACCTGAGCTTTCTAATGAAATTTACTGTAACTATAAGTTTAAACTAAATTTTCTTCCATGATGAAGAATAGTTTTGGAGCCTTCTTTGTTCCATTAACAGGTCAGAGGGAAGAAAGGTTAAAACAAGGAGAATGCCTCAGAGACATCGTCACCAAGAATGTTCCAGTAAAACCCATCGACAGTTGGCCATGAGAAACTTGCCGTTGTCTTCTGGTAGTAGCGACCTTCAAATCTCTTCACCACACACTTTCTCTACAAATGGAAATTAGTAAAATGAGTACCCGTCATTTTGCTGTCAACGGACCGATGCTGGGAAAGCACAAGACCACAAAAGAGAAGAACGCAATGCAAAATTGTAAAAAGTAGGCTAAACCAACTCCGCAAAGTGGATGAGTTGAAAGAGAGCTTGCTCGTCAAGCTGACGATTGTGGGTGCTGAAATTTCGTGCATCGACACATATAAAATCTATCGAAAGGGAACTATTAAAGATGTAGCTGGGATGATACTGTGACCGTGAAACGGCTCAAGCCTTCACCTTCACGAAAGATTTCGAAGAGTCCGCCAAAGTCGTTTAGAAGCTTAAGTTCGCCCGCGTGGCGGAAGGCAATTGGAGTTATCATCGTCCCCGGGGGCGAGTTCTCCGTAACCGCGACACGGAACACCGGCTGAAGACAGGTCTCCTCGTGCCTGGCGCCCAGCCAGGCAGATGCAGGCCAGGGGGCAGGAAGCCCAATCTGGACGTCGAGTCGGTGGTAGACGAACCCGTGGCCGGGTATGGCGAGTCGCAGAACCAAACTGTGATCCGCGTCCAACACCCGCGTCCACCAAGCCCCAGTTGCCGGCGTCTCAATTGGCGGCATAACGTCGAATCGCAGGGTTGGCTCGGGCCGACGCTCCAAACGCCAACCGATGCCGAAATACTGACCCTCCGTGAACAGAGGCACATGTCCCAGCCACAGGCGGCCAGAGATGCCAACCACCTCAATCTCAGCCTCTCCAGGCATAGCAACCGGTGGTCCGTCCACGTAGCACTCGGCAATAGGAGCCTGACTCGTGACGTCTCCAGTCGTCAGGTTGTCTAGTGACAACCGAACATGTGTAAGGCCGGGAAATCTGCCACGTCGTCGCCATGCCTCCGGGTCGGCCCCATCTTCAGTCACAAAAGCCTCCCATTTCGACCGGCAGACGAGACGGGCTGGACGGATGCTCTCTGCAGCAACAGCCGCCAATGACGTGTCTACAGGCCAAATGAACTGGACAGCAAGCACGACTCTGGCACCCATTCCATCTTTGGCTGCAACGTACAGTCGATCCCGCGGCTGACGCCACGTGGATTCGAGAACGCCAATGCTGGTGTGGTTCTCGGCAAAACTGGGCAATACAACATCGCTGGACTTAGTTGAATTGGCGAGCAGGGTCAGATTTGACTGGCTCATTAGATTGGCTGTCTCGGCCGGAGGAGTGAGCACAATTATTATGCCGGTATTCGACTCCACAAAGAAATGGCTGGCGAATTCGTCCCTTTCTAGCAGATCATAGTAGACAGTGCCGTTTTCCCCTGGATCCGGATCAACCGCCGAGACACCCACAAGTGGGGTACCTGAGTTGAACGAGAAAAAAGGAGAAAACATTAGAGAAGTTGCGATGGTAAGGCATAACAGTAACAAATAGGCTCAGACCATAGGTACACCCATCAGACGACAGAGTATCAATGAGCCTGACCTAAGAATGAAAGCATATGAATGGGGGTTTTCGTTTGTAAGTAAGCTAGTCGATTCCTATAGCACATATAACTTTGCTTTATCGACAATCCCAATACAGAATGGGATATGGGAAAACGCCGGGCTTTTCTTGAAATGCACATCTGCCCTCTGACCCAAGGGCACTCGTGGCAATGTGGCGTAGTGCTTAACGTGTGGAGCTTATGCGCTGCGCTATCTTACTGGGTGTGCTTATAGGACATAGTCTAGGTAGAAATAACAGTCCACCTTGCGGGAAAATACCTTTGAGAAAACAAGGCCATGTGAAATTCAATGGAACTACCGGTCCCCTTATCACCTTAAATGAAATAGGCCGAACACATCTCATAAGCATGAATGGTAGACTTGTGATGTAGAGAATGAGTCTTGATCTACCCATGCAAAAAGGAGGAGAATATTCGACTATGTCGATGTTTCCTTCGA